TACTGCCACTTTCCCGGGTGTAACCTCGCCCGGAGGAGGCTGTCGAAGGTCTATAACTATGCCAGGAGGGTACTCTGGTAGCCGTGTACGCTGCTGGAGCGAAGGGTGGGGATACGGTAAGTCCTTGTCGGGTCGATAACTGCTGCCGCACGCGTCGTGCGCGAGACGCGACGCGCGGGTTGGCCTCGGACTAGCCGGCAACCGTACACAAATGGCTAAATTCAGCAGCAGCGTGTGCCTCTGATCTTCCTCTCAGGCCATCATTACGATGATGCTGACGGCCAGGACATACATATCTCCACGCTCTCAAACGATACATTGCTCATACCCACACCTAATTATCCTACAAGGTTTGTACAATCACGGCTTTCCCCCCTTATATCATACAACAAATATCCTTCGACAGGTGACCATGCGTCTCCGCTCGCCGTCACCGCAATGGGAGCAACTTCGTAGATGGCCCTCGTTCTCATGCAAGAAGTTAGAAAGCAAGGATCATGTGTACTAACCAAGGTCAGGGAGGTTGCGTGCGCGAAGGAAGGCTCTCGCTCACCTCACTCGATTTCACAGGGGGTCGAACACGAGAGCCTTCCCGTGGTAAGCTCCTTGAGCGGTTTGAGGAGTCTGGAATGAAACAGCGTCTCCCCAAGCCTGAGCAGCAGCTACAAGTTGAGGTGGTACCGACAAATCTTGAGGTATACCGGCGAATGTGAAGCTGTGGATACGAAACCCTGCGGTCGCGCGACCGTGAAGAACTTGATGAAACCCAGGGAATTGGAGGAGGTTGCTGTGGCGCAAGAGTTGCTCAGACGTTTGACCGTCGATCTCCACACGCTCGATTGCTGGACCCATTGGCAACGCAGATGATGACGCCGCCGGGATCAGCTGCACGTCGAGTGCCCCCACACTGCTTTGCGCCATGCCAAGACGTTCACCCATGTGGCTTGAAAGCAGGATATCGGGTACGGTAGTGAACACACTGAAGTTATACCGACCAAGAGAAGGCAGCTGTAAAGGCTTCTCTCGGAGATCCCTCTCACAAGACCGGTAGGGGCTTGGGGGACCAGTAATGGCCAGAGTCCGAGGCCGGTTAGCCTGGTCCTCAGTATTCAGCGACGCCAGAAGTTGACAGAAGCGAATGAAGAGGTGTAGCATATGCGGCGGTCCTATGCGCGATAGAAGGCGCGATGGAGAGCGGATACGGATCGTGATTGGCACATCTGATGCCGCTTCCAAAGGAGAGTCTGTCAAACGGCAAGCACGCACGGCCATGCCATCCCCGAGTACATCTAGAATGTATCGCTTCACGCCGTGCAAGCACGGTGAAGACGTTGTCAGGGATCTTGCTATGGCCGATACGTGCGATGCTAAAGCGGCCGCTCTGGAATCGGCGGGGG